TCCTGATTATAGATCACTTGAAAGTGGAACCATCTGACCACAAATAATGTTTTCAATATCTTCTAATTCATCTTGGTGGAGCTCGGGCCAAGAGAACTCGTTTGTGCTTCTGTACACTATTGATTTATGGCTCTTATTCATGTAATTCGGTCTCAGGAAACGTTTGTATGGAATGGTACTGTGTTGAGAAGGATTTTTTTATATATAAAATACTTCAATAAAGTCCATACTCTGTAGTAGTATCACTGCAGTTTCTAACATAACATACAGTTTTGTCAGAAACTGCACTGGTAAAGTGATGGACGTAAGACATTTGTGGTACACAGTGTACATGCTAAATGCTGACAGACCCAAAATACTATAGTTACACAGCTGCACAACTTACCATTAGGTCTCATTTAGGCCTTGGCCATTATTTTGAAGTCTGTCACTGTTGGTAACAAATCTGTTTCTTTCTTCCTGTGTGTGGTCTTCCTGTACAGAAAGGTTTCCAGGGATCAGGGAGAAACATGGATGAGCTGCAGGATGTTCAGCTGACAGAGATCAAACCTCTGCTGACCAACAGGGTAAGTCTTCTGGAAGGATAAAAAAAACCAGAACACTGATGAGCTGCATGTGGCAGACGTCTGTTCACTCTCATCCACACGGTTATTCTGCAGACGTTTCTTTATAAATATATGAGGTCCTGAAGTTTTGCCTGTAATATGTATACTGTATTTTCCGGATTATGAGTCGCTCCGGAGTTTAGGTCGTACCAGCCAACTAGAGTGCCCTCTAGCGGCTGTCAGTGTGAAAATAGCTAACATGTACATTTTCAGTGGTAGAGGAGCAGCAGATACTGGGACACAGCCCTAGAGTGACCTTTCACAGCTGTCAGTGTGTCGCACCTGAGTATAAGTCGCAAACCAAGCCAAAGGATGAAAAAAGGTGCAACTTATAGTCTGGAAAATACGGTATTCTCATTCAGCTGATATGCCCACTCTGCATTTTCTTTCTCTTAAAATGAAATTATTCATCTCTCTTCCTAACTGCCCATGGGAAAGAGAAAAAAACTAGAGCACAAGCAATGAAATCATTTGAAAAAAAAAAAAGATCAGTGTCACAAAAAATGAGGAGAGAACTTGAGATGGCACTGGGAAAAAACAAGAATGAAAAAAACAAGATGACAGTAAATGAAGAGAGATGAAAGCAGATGAAGCAGAGAATCCATCATTTCTCCTGCAGCGCCCCAAAGACTCAGACCAGTTAGAGAAAAACTGTACACTATAATAGAACCAGGCTCTGACTTCTTCTCTTGACGTCTCTTTGCTGTGACTTTATATATATATATATATATATACAGTATGTACTGTATATGAAGGTAAAACAAAATCACCAGAGTGAAGGTGTCTGGCCTCTCACTCCACCTAGTGGACAGCAATTAAAAAAGCAAACTCAAAGTTCTTAAAGTTAATAGTATTGATGATGTGATAATAATAATAAAACAAGTTTAGAAAGAAAGAGTTTTCACTAGACCTGATCAGGTTTTACTGCTGTACAGTTATTTCCTATTTGGTGTGTTTAGGTGTTTAAACTAAAATCTGAATTTAAAACTGTATGTTTTCTGTTGTCCACCTCAGTAAACTGTATGAACTCGGAATAAAAATCCATTTATAATTCATAATAAATACTCTGTTCTATTCATTTATATTTCCTCTTTTTTATTTCCTTTCAGAATTCACGCAACTTCCAAGACTTCGACTGCCAGGTGAGTGGTCTCCTCTGTTCCAGAACACACTGCTGTGTTTCTAGAACTCAGACCTGGTTCCATTCTAAACCCTTACATTTTTGTCGGTTCCCATACATTTGAACTTTGTTCTTTTTATTGCAACATCTACGCTGTTAACATGAGAAAAACACAGCTGCTGTGTGTGGTTCTAGGTATGTCTGACATTAATTCCACGGTTAAGGACTTAAAAAAATGATCTGATTTACAAAACTTCTTCATGATAAGAAATGCTTCAAACTGCTGCTGTTCTTTTCCTTGAAACCTTGAAAATCAGGATCCAGTAATGTTGATGGAACTCAGTGTGAGGACTGTTATTAATATATAAACACAATGTTCTTCTAACTAATGACTGACAGTGTGAGATAGATTTAGGTCCTGGTCAGTGTAGTGATCATGTCCCAGTCCACATGATTGAGGAGAAGTGGACTGAGCGGTGACTGAGGACCACGGTGTTAGATCCCACTGCAGGTAGGGATGTGCTGCCATTGTAAGATGACTCTGCTCTCTGCTGTGTTCCTTGGGTTTCGTGGCTGCGAAGGGTTAAGCCTTTTATCCTGTTCTTACTTTCCTGCAGTCACATCTGCTTCAGCGTCCCACCAGAGCTAAATATAGCCACTGCAGTTAGGGTGGAAAGATCCATGTGTGAGCAGGAGCGGGTGCACTGCATCCATTGGTCTGTGTTTTATTAGCTGATGATGATGTTCCATTAAGCAGCTGATCGTCTTATTATGGCACTGATTTAAAACAGGTCCTTTTACAGTGTGGTCCAGTTTTACTGTAAGATGTCCAATTCTGTCTCGGTCTCTTTGGTAGTCCAGCCTGATTGACCTTACCGTCCTGGGCAGCCATTTTGACCTAGTCATTCTTAGATGATACGTGTGCTTAACATAAATCCTTACATTTCTGTGAGTAAAATCCAGACACTTCTACAGTTTCAGTGGAATTAGATTAGAAAGAAGAACCATAACTACACTGGTAGGAAAGAACATTACACAGAAAGGAGTACAGTAGCAAGGAAAAACATAAAAGATTTAAATAAATAAAAAACATTTTTTAGATCTTTTATCTTTTAAGCTATGGTTTTAAAAAACCTTTTAGTTCTTTATACACTCATGTTTAGGTATTTGAATTCCTTCTGGCAGCATGCTGATTCATTCTTGGATATTTCTACACGTACTTTGTGTGTATTCCTCTAGCGTTGCTATAAATATGGCTTGGATCTACCTCCTCATTGTCGGTTCAAATCAGTCACTGGTCTCTCTAGTGAGACTGACCTGAACTGCAAAAAAAAGTTATTTTTTAATTGCATACAAACCCTTTAAATGTGTTCAATGTTTTTTTAGGAGTATATAATCGTGAGTATTTACATAACTCACACCCCTGCTTTACATTGTGTTTACATTGAAAGTACATCATGTACCTGCCTGTGATTAGATGTCAGTGATGCAGGGTCTTAGCCGTAGACACGGAGGAGGTGTCATCACGACCACTTTGACATTATCAACTCCTGGAGGACAAATCCAGGAAGTCACATCTGACGTCCGTGCTGCTACAGCTCCTTTTACTGGTCGGATACGTGTACTGCATGGTCACGACAAAATCATTTTGCACCAGCAGGAGTACAGGGAGGAGGAGGAGGAGGCAGAAGAGTTGGGTGCTGGTGGAGACGATGGCGTCTGGGTGGAGCCACGGCTCACCGACGGGGTGCTGCAGTCAGTGCACCACATCGTGTGTCCGTCGTTCTTATTCATATATATTCAGCCTTACATGTAGGAAGAAATAAATGACTGACCTCTGGCGGAGACGGTGTTGAAGGAGTTTCAATGCAATGCGATCAGCGCGAGTATTGGTTTATGGTAATGTTGAAAATACTACGTCATAGTGACGTTGGCTGTCAGGGTCGTGTTTTTTTTAAATTATGATCTTAATCGGTTCAACAGAGGGCGCCATTGGACAGCTAACTGTGTGAGTCTGGGCTCTGGTGGTCAAAAACTCCCCTGTACATACGAAGCTGAATGGTGCATTGCATTTGAAGCGGCCTTGTAACAATTACAGACATAATAACGTGGGTCTGTGACTTGTCTGACCACTGCTGCCGACATATACATTCATTTAGTGCAGTTTTCTGGGCCTATAGATATAGACATCTGATGCTTTGGTTCATGTTGGACAGTTTTCCTCCCCTAGCTATCAAAAATATGTACAGTCAGAATTTAGGCCGCAGCTTTTTAAAAATAACACTCTAGTTGATTTAGTCTTCCTCAAATCACATTTTGTGGAAGATTTTATTAAACACCACAGTCTAAATGTGCCAGTTCCACACTCACAGGTGTCCTACGTCCTGGTGAAACCTGGAGTTGTGCAGATGGAGAAGTGGGGCAGAGGAGAGGAGAGGAGAGGAGGTTGGATCAATAAACGATTTGGCTCTAATGGGAGGTGAGACATTGATCCGTTGGTGTGCGGAGTATAAGAGCATCTGGGAGGAGGTGCATTTAATGCTAAAAATAAAATCCAATTAGACTTTTTAGAGTTCTCTGAGAAGACAATGTGACTCTGACGCCAGAATGTGTAAGACTGATGCATCCTGGTCCTATCACTCCTTCTGTATCGCTTGAAAGTGCCTCTGGAAGTGCTCTTGAAAGTCATGTGATAGGAAACTTTAATCTTCCAGCAAATGATGTTTTCATTGTAGTAAATAATGTAGTAACAATGTGCTAAAATGTTACCATTGGCTCTTATACAACATTAAAACGTCCAAATTCTGCCATGTAGGCTCTTTTATTTTTAATGCATTTGTTAAACACATGTCAGATCCTCACAGGACTTTTTGTTTAAATATAATATGGCTTGAATTTGAATTGTGTCCTCTCCTCCCAGCTCCTCTCCTATGCCTCACCTCGCCTCTCTTTACCCTCCTTCTCCTTCTCTCCTCTTTTCTTCCTTCCACTCCTCTTCTCTCCTCTCTTTTCATTTCCTGTCCTCTCTCTCCCACTTCCTCCTCTGCCCTGTCCCCCTCTCTTCTCCTCTCTCCTCTCCATCAATGTGACATTTACAGCCTGCACATTTCTTCTGACTGCCTCTGCATCCTTGCACCCTTTGTACCTCATCATCCCCCCATCCCTCCCACTCTCTCTCTCCTCCTCCTCCCCGTTCTCCCCGAAGCCTCACCCCTTCCCTTCGACCACCTGACCCTCAGTGGTCCAATCAAAACCACGGATGGCTGGATGTAGGAACGCGCTGTGACTACCAAGCACAAACTGCAGTCTCACTCTCCTCCCCCTTCTGTCTCTCTTCGTACTCTCTTTCCCACCTCTTGTGTCTGTCCTTCTTTCTGTCGTTCTTTCCGTCATTTCTGTGTCTTACTCATTCCTTTTCCTTCACTCAGCTCATTCACCCATCTCCTCCTGGGTCCCTGTGCTGTGGCCTTTCTCCTCCCTCTCCTCCTCCTGTCAGTGCTGCTCTTGCCTCCCCATCACAGACATATTCAACCTCTCTTCTCCTTCCTACTCCGTTTGGAGATTTGAACCAGAACACACTTGCACATAGCATAACACACGCCTTGTCCTGCGTGGGAAAAACATGTCTGCTATTCTGGACCTGGACCAGATTGCATGCTGTGGGAATGAAGTGGTGAGTGATAAATGCGACATGCCTGCCTCCACACATCTGTGTCCACGGCACTGAGGGTTTGGGTTCAGATTTAGGAGGTGGCTTGAGGAGACTCTGCCACAGCTCCGGTTGCTAAAAGTAAAGACCTGCTGGTGGTCTATGTGGACGTCTACAGCAGACCTCTAAGACTGCTGGTTCTTGTCTTTGTCTTTGTCTTTGAGGACAGCTGTGTGAGCTCAACATATTTTGTGTTTGTGCATTTCTACAGGCGTGTCAGTGTGTGTGTGCAGTGGGGCGTGTTAATGCAACGCTGTAAAAGATGCATGAACGATGTCTGTGGATCAGTGATGGACATTTAAAACAGCTTCACATGGTTCTAGCTCTGCAGCCACAGCCCAGGGACGGTGGAGATGCAGTGGTGGAGAGAGCATTTGTCAGGTTGTCAGCACTCTGCTGCTCTGTCATCGCTCTGGTCTGCAGTATAGCACTCTTTACCTCCCAGTTCAGAGCTGACTGTAGTCACAGAGTTAAGACTCGAGGACAGTTTTTTTCAGTCCTTTTAATTTTGAAAATATAGCCTGTATTTATAAAAGATGGATATTTACGCTCAGGTTTTTTTTTTTTTTTACTAGCAATGTGTCTTGCTTTAATGGGCTGTGACATGACTGAAGAGTTAACTAATGCTACTGCTATATATCAATGCTTAAAAGACATAAATATAAATGTCAATGAAAGCAACATTTAATAATATTTTTTACATCTTCTGTTTTTTAGAGGTTGATTTGATGCAACATTAAACAGATTTTAGGGCCAGGGCACTGGCTATTCATATATAAACATGATCAAAATATAGTTACAGGTGCAATGCAACATTCACATACTATTGTTTTAGAAACCTCAAAATGAAACCTTTATTTTGAACTACAATTACCAGATTGTTTAATTTATTTATATCATTTATTGTGTATCAATACATGGTCCATCTACCTTGTTTCTGCACCCTGGTGGTGCAGTACCTCCTCACAGCTGTGCGGTGGTTGATCTTTCATTGACTTGTTTCTTCGTGTTATTCCAGGTTTAAGGACAGCAGGTCTTAAATGTTCTCCTCGTTGTCCGCACTGACCGCTGCCTCAGTTCAGATCTGCTTTTCATCTGTGGTTAATCCTTAGTGTCATGACTTGATCCGACCATTTTCTTTTCAAATATATTGAGTTGAAGAATGACACGTATTAAACCATAATTGCACCAGGACTCTTCACTCTTGGACCACAGGATTCAAACTGTGACAAAAGCACCCTCTGCAGGTTAACGAGGAGTTACAGTATGTGTGTTCTATTAGGAAACAGTAAGTGGTGTTATCAGTGTTAAAGAACGGAGACAAGGAGAGTCGTGTCACTATTAATAGAAATGAACCGTATTTATACAAAACATTTACCCAATGTCCGGCTGCAGAAAGTCTTTTTTTAATAATCAGATATTCATCATCAGGTCCCCATCCCATATGTTGGGCCTTGAACCCCACACTCTTCTGTTCATGTCCACGTCTCTGTTGTGATGAAGGCCTGGTTTAGCTGCAGCTCAGTTCCTCCAGTGTGTAGCTTCACTGCACCGTGGCCGTGATGTCAGGCCATCACTGGTGTTTGCTGCAGGAGGGCGGACTCTGTGTTTGTGATAGAACCCGGAGAGCACGCTGCTGTTTGTTCATACATGAAGTACATAAACACACAGTATTGGTACGCCGCTGCCCTGCCCTTCAGCAACCCTGCAGCGCAGCTACAGAGAGAACTGATGATAAACTGATTGATTTGTGGTGGAGAAGAACAGGTTAACGTCCTCTCATCCATTTCTCATTCAGCCAGCTCCCTCACTTGTCCTCATTCTGGGATCCAAAAAACGCAGGACCCCCGCCTTCCACTTTTATCCAGCATGAAAGAAGCTTCCTCAACCATTCTCCCTGAAAATTCAAACCCCTACTTAGTATTCACTTCTCACCAAGAACCGTCCCAAACATCAACTCCCACTGAGGCTCAGCTGAATGAACTGCTGCTCAGCATCAACACATGAAGAAGAAGGAATAAAGGCTGCTGTTACTGCAGCCATTCCATTGTTTTTGCCTTTCTGACAAGGAAAACAACCCCGCCCTGAGTCTGTTTTCATCCACAGCCTCTGTGTGTGTGTGTGTGTGTGTGTGTGTGTAGTAATATATCCATTTGACTGAAAGGAAATGGTACGCAGAGTTTCTAGATCAATACAGCCTGTAAACCAAGCCAAGAAAGGAATTGACAGACAGAAGCACCTTAACTTACTCTTCCATATCCAGTTCTTCTCTGAAGGCCTCACTCTTTTATGCATGAATGACAGAAACGCCCATGAAAATGAATAGTGTAGCTGAACAATGCAGCAGTGTAAACGGTGGAGCTAACAGTTACTTTTATATCTGATCTTTCTTATCTTTGACTGGTTCCCTCTTCCTTTGGTTGATGAAAGAAACAAAAAAACTGTTGGTTTTATTTAAGAGTACACTGTGTACAATATAGCAGCATCTAGTGGTGTGATTTCATATTCAGGCAGCTAATCCCTCAGCCTTGGGCCAACATAAGAATATCTAAGGTAGACGTGAACAGTGTACAAACATACAGTAGACGGTCTCCTTCGAGAAACCTGAATCCTAGATGGAAATTAAAGAAAGAAAAAGAACGTTGTTGGATTTTCAATCAGCCTGGTGTTGATAGAACATGTTTTTCATTCCTGGCCTAATACAGTTGGGAAGCTAGAATTCTAAGCTGGACATTTCTGACTTATAATAGTTTTAGTTTGTGCTACAATGACCAGGCTGCTCTGACAGTACAGTGGGAATGTGATGCAGAATCTGGAAATCCAACTGTGGTCTTGGTTGAACTGCAGGTCTTGTGATCTGCCAGTTATATGGACATAGTGACATACTGTGCTGTATGACCAGACCAAGTGACTCTAATGTAATGTGACTCTATGGTTGAGCCATGCTAAACTTTGGCTTTGCTGTGAAGTGAGAACTGCACACAGATTCAGTCGTTGTTTCTCATTTAGTTCCGGCTGAATCGTGGCATTAAAGTGTCAGATTAAGAGTGTAGTCCAAAATGAGTCTGTGATGGCTGCCCCGGGTTGGCTTGAGCGAACAAACTGTAACTGTAACAGTTTTATAAACAGAAATGGAAGGAGGTAGATAAGATCGCAACATCTGAATATTATCTTAAGCAGATATGATCACGTCAGGGTGTAGTTATTCAGCAAGGTCACACTCCACTCCTCCAAACTGTAAAACGCCTTAGTAAGAAGGAGGTGACATTGCATACTGCTAATTTCGCAGCTCACTCTTTGGCAGATGAGGTTAATTTTAGCTCCATCACCCACTTAAGGAACAGCTTCTTGTCCCAATCCCTGCAGTTTAACAGTTGACGTCTTTTAAAAGCCAATCACACTCCACCTCTCTCCATCAGGGCATGTCACAGCAGCAGAACACACAGTGATTTGGCACATGCTACCTACCCATCTGTCACATGTTACCACGAAGAAGAAGATGTTGTAGATGAGATTGAACTTGAGGTTGATTCCACACAGGAAATTCTTGAAAAAAAAAGTCCGTCCAAAGGAGAAAAAAACTCAGGTTCCACCGAGATTTGAACTCGGATCACTGGATTCAAAGTCCAGAGTGCTAACCATTACACCATGGAACCAACTGTTAAGATGTGGTTTCAAACATCAACCCACATCCAGGGTTTCACTGGTACTCCTCTGTTTTACTAGTTGAATATAATGGGTGGAATCCATCTCTGTATTGATACCAAAAATTAATTGGTCATTGTGTTTCAGGAGAAAAAAAAGCCTTTCATATGTTTTGTATTGTGGGTTTTATCTAAACAAGATATTTCTTACAAAGACTTCCATTTGTACATGTTTCTAGTCATAATCTCCATCTGTCATTTACCTTAGACATGGTCTTGGCTCCACCCTCTGCTCTCATACACGTGCATGTTATTCTGTTAATTCACACTGACCTTGGCACCACTGTTGGTGTTTCATGTCTGATATAAAAAGACAGCTTATTCCCAGGGAACCTGCCGTGTCATTTCCAGGATGTGATCATATAACCTCCCGTCATGTGCTCTATGATTCTGACCAAGCACTAGTGACGCTGCACTTTTACCCTTCCATGTTTGAATGTTTCATCGCTGTTTATCTGTAAATGGTCTGGACTTCTCCCTCGGGGACAACGATATGTTATTCTTATATTTTCAAGATAAAGAGAAACACAAAGCTAGCGATGATGTCAAATAGCTGACATTGGTCTGTGGCTTTTCACAACTTTCCCAAATGTTAAAAAAAGCCTGTTTCTCAGTGCAAACCTGTTCATCTGATTGTCGTTGTACGATGTCAGCCATTTTATTGGAAGAAAGATTAAGAGATGAAAGCGTCCAACACAGTCCCGTCGTCCTCTAATAACTGTGTCGTGTATTCATCTCTTCTTTGTGTCCAAGGACACAGACACACACCTCCAGATACAGTTCAGAATGTTCTGTATTTTTCTACATTTTATATAATTCATTTTGTTTCTTAAAACTCAGTGAGAACCTAACTCTTCAGTCAGTGTTTAATAGTCTGAAATCTTAGAGACATAGTCAAATCAACCACATCTGGAAGATACTGTATATTAGTGGTTCCCTTGTGACCTTTATTATGACATCAAAAATTTCCAGTGACCCCTAGAGCCTTGGGTGGAATCGGCCAGCTAGAATTTTTCCATTGTAAAATTAATTTTTTTTAAAAATCAAGCAAAACAAGAATCGTTTCCCATGATCACAGCTGTCAATCAAGCTCAGATATTTTATATGCTGCATTCTTTCATGGGCCACATGATATGATGACATTCTGTGGACCTTGAGTTTGACATATCTAATCTGGTGTGTGCCACGCCCTATCCCAAAGGCTGCTGGGATTGGCTGCGGCTGCCCTTCTGACCCTGAGAACAATTAAGGACTAGGAGATGATAAATAAGAATTTTTTTCTCCTCCTTACTGAAGTTTAACTGGTTGTTTTTCTCTGTCTGCAGGAGCATGACATCGAGACTCCTCATGGTGTCCTTCATGTGACGATGAGAGGCGTTCCCAAGGGCAACAGGCCCGTCATCCTCACCTATCACGACATAGGGTTGAACCGTAAGTCAACCCAGTCAGTGAAGCCATCTGCAGTCGGCAGAGCAACACCAGGGCAGCTACTGTTTGAGCCCAACTTTAAATTCAGAGCAGTCTTCAAATGTTAAAATGAAAAACCTTACTTTCGTGTCGTTAAATCAGCGACACACTGTGGTTTGTTAATGGTAAAAAAGCTGTGTGTTCTGACTTGTTCTAATCCCAGACCAAGAACAAAGAAAGGAGGGAAAGTGTTTTGGAATGTCAGATACATGTGATGAGATCATCTAGACAGGAGTGTTCCCAAAATGTGACAATGAATTTTTACCAAAGTCATTGTTTCTCCTCGTACTCCTTAAACCTCTGCGACCGTTGTTTCAATGTTTCAGACAAGTCGTGCTTCAACACCCTGTTCAACTATGAGGACATGCAGGAGATCACGCAGCACTTTGCAGTGATCCACGTGGACGCTCCGGGGCAGCAGGAAGGAGCCCCTCCCTTCCCCAGGGGGTAGGTCTGCTGCACCACTTCTTCTCCTCTGATAAAATGAGGACGTCACACCAGTGTTGTTTGATGAACAGAGTGATACACGAGCTGCTGATGTACATGTACAAAGCACAGTCATTCACGTGTGTGTGTGTGTGTGTGTGTCAGGATTTATATAACTACACATGCACCTGACACTCTGTGGTATTTTGGTTGTCTGTCTCCAGGTACTGCTACCCCACCATGGATGAGCTGGCTGAAATGCTGCCCTCTGTGATGACTCAGCTCAGGTCAGTGTCCCGTCTCTTGTTTTCAGATCAGTGATGACGTGCACTTCCTGTCCCATGCTAACACTTTCTCCTCTCTCTGCAGCATCAACAGTGTGATTGGCATCGGCGTGGGAGCAGGAGCGTACGTCCTAACCCGCTTTGCTGTAAGTCCTGAAGAAAATCACTAGGACTGTATGCTGGTGAAGGAGCGTACAGTCCTAGTGTAGGTCACAAACGTGTTTGTTAATTGTTTTGATATTGTTATTTTTGGCTTTTAGTAGGTCACAAACGTGTTTGTTAATTGTTATTTTTGGCTTTTAACTTTAGCTGGGTCATGTTTGTTGTTACTTTTGTTTGTCTGTTTTTTTGTGTTATATTTAGAATGCCTTGCCTTGACAGTGTTATCACAGCTGACTTCTCTCCACAGCTGAACAATCCCACTCTGGTTGAAGGTCTGGTGTTGATTAATGTCGACTCCTGTGCTGAGGGATGGATCGACTGGGCAGCGTCAAAGGTCTGAACAACCACAGCTCTTGGACTCTTTCATCTTTTACCATTTCAGGACACCACCTGATTTTGGTTAGGGATTTTATCCTATATGTTTCTTCATTTACTGATACAGCTGAACGTATTACATTGAGCCAAATATAGAATCTTCTGTCGTTGTCTGTTCACCCCCTGACCCTAAAGGATATCATCGCATTACAAACAACTTAAAATCGAATCAATATATTACAGAAGTTGAAGTTCTGTTAATATAAATCACAGATTTTTTGCCATTGATTTTTGTAAACTTATTTTGCATAACTCTATTATACATAAAGTGACTTCTGTTTTCTTTTAACTGATGTTTTTCCTCCTGTGTGTAGCTGTCTGGGTGGACCAGTAATTTGGTCGACATCGTCATGGCCCATCACTTCAGCACAGTGAGTTCACTCTGTGTTCCCTCTACCATTATCTGAGCTGTTCATGGTCCTCATAATAATTTACTCTTATTTTAACATAATCTGGGGGGGGGTCATGGTGATCAGGGTGTACGTAGTCCAGTTGAACTGCAGCCAGGGCCACAGGTTTCAGGGTTCACTCCATGAGACTCATTAGGGTTAGAAAAATAGTATATAAGTACAGATTATTCATATATATTAAATGTATCAACATTGGTATAATGTAAATATTATTTTAATTATTAAAAATACGTTTGTTTTTTCCTGTGCACCAGGATGAACTGACTGATAACCAGGAGCTGATTCAGACCTACCGTCTCCATATCGCCCATGACATCAACCAGGACAACCTGGCTCTCTTCTGTGGCTCCTATCAATAGTAAGACACTGCAGCTGAGTCCAGAGTGTGTGTGGTGGGCTGTCTGTCACAAATGGTCTGTTCTGGATTCAGTTTAAAGCATTTCCAAATCAACACAAGAATCACACTTGAATAAGGATTTTAGTAAAACGTTTCTACTCACGTCACTTTCTACTGACATTCGTGATGTGGTGAGTTAAAGGCTGTTCAAGAGCAAAATATTCAGTACAAAGAGGCAGTTGTTAGTCAAGAGATAATAAAAAGATACAAGTTGTTAAAGTTTTCTTGTTAGTATTAAACAATGACCAATTAGATACAGAATAATAATCAGAGGAATGTCCTGTTAGTCTGCCACAGTTTCATCACTCTGTGTTTCTGTCTGAGGAGAAACTCCTCACCCTGAGACAATAACTAAACACACGTTTGGAAAACAAATGTCACTGTAAATAACACAGTAAACAAGTGTGTAGTATCTGAAGGATGTAGAGGAGACTTTCCCACCCAGATTCCGATGCTGTCTCCACTTCATTGACTTTTCCTAAATTTCACTCTTTTTTTTTTTCTTTCTAGTCGCCGTGACTTGGAGATCGAGAGGCCAGTTGTGGGGCTGAACGAGGACACTGTCAACACACTAACGTGAGTTGACACAAACATGACCCACAGTTGTTTTATTTAACAAAGTGATTGGAATCAGTCGTTTGTCATTAATGCTCTTCACTCTACACTTTGCTCCTGTTGACAAAAGTGTTGACTAACCTACTGCACTGATCACTGAAAACAAATGACAGAATTTCCACTTTAATTCAAATTAAATCATTATTTATTTGATATAAAGAGAGAGAGCTCATGCGAGGCTACAAAAACAACCTGATCTTTGTTTTGTTGTGCAGACATATTGTACGAGCTTTTATTTGTCAGATGCACAGGAACCCGTTTTCTTCTGTGAATCATGGACTGATTTACATTAAACCCAGAATCTGTTTATGTCAGTGGCTCTGACTGAGCTGAGGAAGTTACTGTCACCATAGTCAGGCGTGGTTGGTACGACCTGTTTGAGTCAGATGGTGATCACTGCCGTCGGCCTGGACGATGGTTCCTCATTCGTTTTCTCCTGACCTTCACAGATGTCCTGCTTTGTTGGTGGTCGGTGACACATCACCTGCTGTGGATCCTGTGGTAGGTAGACCTGAGACCTGTTCTGCCCCCGCCCCAAAGTCAACACCCAAGTACAATCATGACGATCTGTGACGCTTGAACATACAGTCTGAATGAACTCTGTGATGCTGTTGCTTTGGTAGCAGCACTTATTATAGAGATAAAAAGTGATGTTTTGATTCATATCAGCGACACCTCAGACAGACCAGGCTGAAAAAGAGGCTGTGTTGAGAAGAAAAGTCCCAGATACACCACAACCCTGCATACTTACTATGGATTGTGCATCTTTCTCATTCATCACATTTCACATGATGTTTTTTATTGGGTTTTTTTTTTTATTTAAAAAATCTAAAGTATTGATATGGGTATTGGGAAAACAAATGCTAAGACAGTGATCTGTATGATCTAATCTTTTTACCTCTTGTCTGACTTGATGATCAGGTGGAGTGCAATTCAAGGTTAAACCCAACCAAGACCACCCTGCTGAAGGTGACGGTTGTTTTTTAATCTAACTAATATTAAAGTTGGACAAAGAATAATCTAATCAAACATTGTTATTTCTTCCAGATGGCTGACTGTGGAGGTTTACCACAGGTGGTTCAGGTGGGCTGAACTCCTCAGCACATTAATGTTGACTAATGAGAACGTTTTCATCTTCTCAACTGTGTCTCCGTCTGATCTCTCTGCAGCCGGGGAAACTGGCCGAAGCCTTCAAGTATTTTGTTCAAGGCATGGGCTACAGTAAGTAAACACACTCTGAGCACTGACTGGAGATATAAAAAAAACACACACAACACATTGTGATTCAAAATAGTACGTGTTGATGTGATCTCAGCTGTAATGAAACTGTTTTGTGTGTGTGTGTGTGTGTGTGTGTGTGTACCAGGTCGAGGTTTTGGTCAGGCCAGTCTTAGAAGGACGTGAGGTAGTTTCCTGTCTGGTCACTGCAGCATGAAGTACGCTCAGTGAATCAGCAGTCTGACAGTAGCATTAAGACATTTTGATAAGATTTTAACTGTTATTTAACAGATATTTTGGATATAAATCCTGTCTCTGTTGGATGTGCTGTGATATTGTTCTAGGGTCCAGTACTGTCTGTGTTATTCCTCTGCTCTTTTCACAGAGGAATAACTGTATATCTTGGTTCACAGCAGCCACATTCCTCTATCCCAGAGGTCACCAACTCTATTTTTGAGAGTCCCAGAATGTTTCTGGACAGACTCCTTTGGTTCCAGACCCTAAAAATAAAATGTAATGAAAACCACATTTGTGTTTATTTATTTATGGTTATTTTGGATCCAGTTATGGGCCGGAATTGGCCCGTAAGCCGCCAGTTGATAATCACTGCTGAAGCCTTAAAGCCCAAAGAGCTAGTGTTTGAAGGATTCTTTGTTTTTTTGTCGAGACTTTCTCTGATCTTTCTGTGAACTTCTGAGGCAGTGGGAGGAGCCTGGTTCTACAGAGTGTGTGAAGTGCTGCTGTGGTTCCACTGCCGCTGCATGTGTGTTGTGTGATGCAGCGTTGACTTTGGAACCGCAGTGAGAGCTACTGCAGTGGACTGTGGCGGAGTTCAGATCAGAGGCGGGGTCGTGGAGATCCACCTTCTCACCTTGTCTCCCTGTCTTCTTCCTCTTCTTCTTTTAATTACTGCTTCCAGTTCCCTATGTTCTTCTCAGTCACCTGAGCAACGAGTCAGGTACTAAGTTCTTCTGCAGCTCCCAGACCAAAGGCCTCGTGACACTCTGCAATGGATAAATGTGGCCATGTAGACAGAGAACAGTTCTGGTACCGTTTCAGCCAGACTGTTTCGGCACACATTTATTTGCCTGCATGGAATCTGACCTCTGTGTTCTGTTTTCCTGCATGAGCTGCTGCTGCTGCTGTCACTGTGGCTGACCCTGTGGCTGACCCTGTGGCTGACCCTGTGGCTGACCCTGTGGCTGACCCTGTCCTGCCTTTATTTCTTACTTCAGTGAACACGATTCAAGATTTCTTTTGGCTCAGCTGTTTCGTTTTTATTTGGTTTGTGCAGACTGCTTGTTTGCATGTGAGTCACCTCAGTTGTTGTGTCGTTGGACTGGTGGTGACAGATCAACCAGTTTGTGCTCCAGGCCAGGAAATGAACATTTGAACAGAAACAAGTCCAGACAATGTCATCAAATGTTATTATGACCTGGTTGTACTGCACTACGTCTTTGGACACCTTTAATGTTTGCTTTTTTTTTTTTTTTCAAAGTTTTGTCTCTGTTTTTCACAATGTCATACTCAAAAATGTATGACTTTTTTGTCAAACATTGACGACTTCACTCTCGTAGAGTTTTTAAAATGAAATTTTTCTTGTTGATTTACAACTTTAATCTCAAAATCGTTTAATTATTTATTTATTAATTTATTCTCAATGTGGCCCTAAATCTTCATGGTAGTTTTTATGGCCAAATCCCAATTATTTGAGGATGTAACTCAATGATCTTTTTTTTTAAGTCCTTCAACAGTTTTTGGCACTTTAATGTCCTAATTTTCTTCAGCTGACGTGATGTTGTCTTATTCCTAATTTTGTATTATTTACTTTTTCGTCTTCCACTTAATCCTATTTCTCACCATTGTTTATTTTCTTAGTAAACCCACGGCTGTGGCTAAACATTTCTGACTCTGTGCTCTGTGTCAACATGTCACTACATCAACACTGACCTCTGCTCGTCTCTCTCCCAGTGCCCTCTGCAGGAATGAGCCGTCTCGCTCGCTCCCGCACCACCTCCTCCTCCAGCATCACCTCCATGGAGAGCAGTCGCAGTCGCAACAATCTCAACAGCCTGCTGGACAGCAGCGGCACTGCGGGTCTGGACAACCAGTGTAGACCTCAGACCATGGAGGTGTCCTGCTAAAGTCCAC